TTCTATTTATTGTATTATTTTACAAAAGCTTTAACTCATTTTATGGTTTAGATACAAACTATTGTAGATATTCTTATTAATAAATAATATTAAGTACCTACATGAGAATTCAGAGGAATAGTTTATGTTAGAGCACTATTTGTTTTCTCCCTCTAACCCGCGAGCAACAGAGAATTTTACGTTCATAATAATGATTATAACCATATACATTTTCTAAATTAGAAAGAAATAACCTCTTATAAAATGTAAGGTAAGATTATTATCCATGGCAAATGCCATAGGCTCTTTATTATATTTTATATTTATTATATTTATAAAGCGAGTTATGAGCATTTTAAAATTGGAAATTGTTTGTACATCTTAAAATAGGTACTCTTAACTTTTGTTGAGCGTGAGAGTGAAATTACTGAGCTTATATCCTCTTAATAAAAAAGGTTGGCATATCTGTGGCGAAATTATGCCTTTAACCCCCCCCCCCTCCCCCAGCCGTAATTACTCCACTAGTTGGAAATTATTTTTATTTTTAATTGTTGACATTCATCAGTTGAACATATAAAATTTACATATTTTTAATTATCAATTGCTGCTTGCTGGTGTGTATGTAATAATCATTTATTAATTATAAATTTAAATAACTTGAGGGAAAAACCAAGGAATATGTCAAATAAGTTTATCTCAGCAAGTAAGTTAGGTGTATTGTGTATAGAGTACTGACAACTAATTGAGAGTCAAGTGTGTAATGAAAAATTAATATATTTTAATTTTGATCAAAATAAATGATCATATGTATGAAAATAAATTCTGAACGCTGTACCGGTTAAAACCATACTTGCTAAGATAACTTAAAAAATATTCTTTGTTATATGTGTATTACATATGTGTTTTTAGAGTATCATTCAGCCTTCCAGAACTGATTTCCAGTATTTACACAGGATATATTTAAGTACTTAGATGAATATTTTTAAGCAGTTTTTCTACTTGAAAACATTATCAAACAAACCACAATTGTTTGCAAATAAAGGTAATCATAATAAATATAATAATAGTTATAATTATTATTAAAAAAAACATAATTGTAAAAATCGTACATTTTTCACTTTCTTAAAACCAGTTAGTGGTAGACTTCAGTTGTTTGTAGTTACTATTTCAAAACAAAATAATACATACAAAACAATTAGGATTTTTAAATTACAAGTAATTTGCATTTCTGCAATATAAATTTTTTTGTGTGGTCGATATTAAACTAATTAATAAAGAATAATATTATAAATTAATAGTGGTAAATATATTTTATTTAAGAATAAATTAATTAAACATTTTTTTTTTATTTTTTATTATGACGCTCCAATATGAATAATTTCACGGTAAACATGATCATATTCTTATATTAAATGAGATTAACATTCAGAGGATAATATTATAACATACATATTAAATGATTTTCTGAGTTCACTATTTCATGGTGAGATAATTTAGAACACTTTTCTTAATACCCATCATATAAATTTTTTAAAAAAACAAGATAAGTAAGTCATTTTGTAGTATACATTTTGTTATTATATGAGTAATTATCGCATTACTACACAGGTCCAAATATATTATATTAGGTTCCAATTAATAATATATCTCATGGTCAATGGAATAATAAATAATCGGAACTCAATTGGTGGTCGATGTAAATTAGGAACCTAGACGAGTATTATTTATTGTGTGTGTAATATATTTTTTCTTTTTTTGTATATAGATGAGTTGTTGAAAAATAATTTACTACAATATATTATATATATTAATGTATAATACAATGATAAATAGTGATCAAAGTGAGACGAATAATGCGACACTTTTATTACGATAATTGAAATATTTAGTTAAATAAACATTTAAAAATAAGAATAAAACACCTTGTGTAATTAATACAAGACATATAGAAATAGTATTAATTTATATCGCAATTGTACACTCTCCGTGAGTATAATTTAATTTATAAAATAATAAGATATACATAACATACAAAAAAAATTAACTACAGTAGGGTGTTCGTGCACTAGTTTGTGCTGTACAATTAACACACCTACTAGTTGTTTGATTATTTTATAAAATAAAACATAAAATGAACTATCATTATTATTATTATTGTTATTCATTTACATCCTTAGTAACTTGGGTCCAATATATATATTTCATATTATTTGCTTTTAGAATCTAAGCTAGGTAAAAAAAAAAAATAATAATAAATAATAATAAAATAAACAATACATTGATAAATAAAAATAATATATGTATGTATATAGACATATAAAATAGGATTATATAAATAATAAATCATTAAAACGGGTTTAACAATATATAGAACGCAATATTATACAGTACGATTAGAGAACACACTCAATACGTTTTGCATAATTAAGTTAGTCCTGTAGTTTGAACAACACAAAGAACACAATATACAATAATATGTTTATTAAGAAGACCATAATGGTTCAAATATATTATAATAAACATGTTATCAGTTCGGATACAATATAAAGTTTCTCTTTTCTTTTTGTGTAATTGGAATTAGTTGTTATATGTATAATTAGATAGAAAATAAATAAATAATATAAACATTTACACGTTTATAAAGAAAAATTTGAAAAAAAACAGTAATAGTAAAATAAATAATTAAACCACCAATGAAAATTTTACTATTCTACTAACAATAATATTGTCTATAAATTGGTTCCATTGATTTATTTTTTATAAGCATAAAATAAATAAAAGTAAACAATTACTCCAAACATTTTGTTTAAAAATAATTAATGTTGTTGTCAATATTAAGGGAATTAGGGCTCATACTATAAATGAATAAACTAAATATTGGCCTACAAACACTTATATGTTAAATATATATAAATGCATAAATGGTACCTATAATTACACTTCTGTAATCCTTTAATAAATACATACACAGAATTATTTATATATATATTTTAATATATATTTATAAACATTTTTTTTTATTTATATGTATTTGCACATCCTTACAATTATGGGTTTGTTAAGTAATATTTATTAAACAACTATTAGAATTGAAAATTGTTAACAAGTCGAAATACATATATTATTATAAAAAAAAAAATGAATTTTAATTAAATGCTAAATTTTTCTAAAGCTACAAACATCAATTTATTTAGTGTCAAAAAATGCTGTTTATAAGGACAAAAGAATAAAGAATTTTAAATTTTACTCTATTTTATTTTCGACACAATAACTATAAATGAGTACCTTGTGTGATTGTACAAATTTTGTAATAACAGAAGTTATAAATGATTATGTTTGTTCGTTATCACAAGAATATTATTGTGCGTCATACGTACAGGTACAATATACGGCAGCTATGACCATTTATTTAATACTTAAATAAATAAAAGATGCATGATCAGAGAATATTATGCCAGATTCAAACATAGTAGGTACATAAATAAGGAATTGTATGATCAATGTTTTTATTTGAAAAAAATTTGTCTTATGAGTAAGATTGGACCTATTAGCCTCTCATTGCGCAAACATGTAGTAACATAAAACTATGTCTTGGATGAATATAATAAGTTTTTCAACTATTTGATAAAAAATAATTTAAATCAAATGTTTCAAAAACAGAATATAAATAATCAAAATTGTCTTTATGTTATAGTTATAACTTATAAGTTTAATAAATGTATAACAATAAATTAAGATTGTGAAGGATAGTAGAGCACACAATATTTGGAAATACTCATCAAGTTGTAACAGGTAGACCTATTATACTTATAACTGGTGTTTATTTTTAACCCTGGATGATTGAAAACGCGATTCAAAACAATTAATGAAATAATACAATAATAATGTTAAGCTCAATTAAGAAAAAAACCAACTAAAATAATATTATATTCAGACTAGATTTTGACATAAATACAATATTTATATTCAATCCAAATATACAAAAATTATATAGCAGCTAATATAATTGTATAAGTACACTCAAAACCCAGAAATTAAAAATTTTTAACATACAAACAGTTTAATATGCTACATTACTTTAGTTGGTTATTCAGTTATTTTATAATTGATGGACTATGAGTAAAAAGTATTTAAAAATAAAACCAGGCTAAATGTTATAATAATATTGAAAAAAGAAATATTTAGTAATAAGTTTAGTATTGGAATAATAGATAAATTTTTTTCAGTTTATTATGTATTATGCCATGGGAGTTTTAAGTTTATGGTGTTTCCAAAGTTGATGAATAATTCAACTAATTCATTATTATGTCATGGTTGATTTATTGCAAATCTAAAACTAATGTGCTGATTTTTAAATTACCAAAAAACAACAGTTATTATTGGCAGCATAAATTTCAAAACAATCACAATTTTATAATTGGAACGTTTGTTAATGAGAAAATATTTAACACAAAATGATTGATGAGTTATGAACTTTAAATTTAAAAATGATAGGTAGCAGATTTCAGTAATAGATGAAATTTATATTTAACTAAATGTTGGCACTTTTATGGAAAACTGTGTTAAGAATACTAATTTGTTTAAATAACATTTCAAAAATAGAGAAAAAAGGTAATGTTTTCAAAAATGCAGTTAGAAAAATAAGGGATTATTGACACATTAGATTTACAAACAAAAAAGGCCAATTACACATTGCTGTTATTTTGTGTATATGTTTTATAATTAATGGTATTTACAAAGTTCCAGGCCTCAGAAAATATTACAATTTTGGCTATATCCAATAATGAACAATAAAATAATAATAATAATAATAATAATAATAATTAGGTACTTATAAATTAAAAAAAAGTACAAAAGCAATTTGGAAAAGTCGATTTAGCCATTTAAAATAAAAATTAGTAAGCAATAACAAATTTAGCATTGACTCATAAAACAATATTTTTACCACATTGTTAAACATTCCTTTTTTTCTACGTGGATTGTTGGCATTGATTGTTGTTTCATCATTGTTATTAAGCTATTTAAAGAAGAGCGCATAGCGACTTCTTTTTTTGTTTCTGTTTTTTCTCTGGACTTTTTTTGTTGATCTGTCTCACTAAGTCATAGAATATCTAAAACAAATTAAATAACCATTTTTAACATTTATCATTTTATAACCCAATTTAAATGAAAAAAATAAACTAACATTTTGTACGTTTATGTACTTATAATATTTAGTATGGATCAGGATGATGTTTTAAAAATTAAATTAATTTATATACAATAAAAAATAAAAAATAAAAATTGTATTCATTACCATGCAATAGCACTACCATTAAATCTTATGTTTTAAACTTAAATCCTAGGTATAAAAATAAAAATTCTTAATTTTTGTTCATATAAAATAAAATAAAATATATATATATATAAAATGTTAATGTTTATATACCAAGTAACAAAAATTAAATTCATTTTGAAAATACAGTTACTTACAATATTATGTTCTAACAAAAAAGATTTTAGTGGTTTAATGTAATATTATAGTAGTTACTATTAATTCTGGCAATGAAGGCAGAATAATAATAATAGTTACATTATTAAAAGGTAATAATGTTAAAGTTAAAACATTGAAAGAAATGAGTTTTTCATGTTATAACAAATTCAATTTTTTTTTAAATACGTATAATAAAATATTAATTTAAAATAAATAATAGAAGATTGAAATTGTCTATATTAAGCCAATACAAATTACTAGTTTATTCTAATATTGATGATGAAAATTTATACTAATTTATTAAAATACTCACACTTTGATGTTTCTAAAAAAAAAAAAAAAAATTATAATAATAATAAAGGGATTGAAATTAAGATATTAATATACATATAAGCAAATCATGTCTATTTAACTACCATACTATCAATAAAATAAAATACACATATATTTATATATATATATATATGTGTGTGTGTATATATGTATTTATATATGGCATCTTAATACTTACATCAATCACATTGATTTTAGCTTTAGCGGATGTTTCCATAAAAGCACAATTGAATTGACGAGCCAGATTCACTCCATGTTCTTTACCGACTACCCTTTCTTCTTCTAAATCACACTTGTTTCCCACTAATACCATGGGTACATCATCAGTGTCCTATTTTTATAATTTTAATAAATTAATATAAGTAGGTTTTAAAAGTAAAAATTGGTTTGTTGAAAATTTAAATTAAAAAATGGTTATACCTTTACTCTTAAAATTTGTTCTCTTAGATCTTGTAAGTCATTAAATGTTGATTGTGCTGTAATAGAATATACAAGAACAAATCCTTGGCCATTTTTCATATACAAATCTCTCATTGCTGTAAATTGTTCCTGTAAACAATTAATTATGTAAGCATAAATATATGTCACCTAAAATATCTCGAGGATATTATAAAAAAAAAAAATGATTTTATTTCATTTTCATACACCATTGATATTAAATAACCAAGAATTTATAATTTTTTTTCCTCATTTTAATATATTATCTATACCTATGGGACACAGTATATTGTGTTAAGGGTACGAGACATACATATATACTAATACTAATTAACCATGTTAATGAAGTAATAATTAGAAAAACTTAATATTTGTATTATAACCTTTAATCTTCAATTAATAAAACTTAGTTGGCATTAGAAAAAATAATTGTTTTGTAACCCATATTGAACTTAGTCTGGTTATAAGCTAAAACAATTTTTATATTGCATTAAAAATATAAAATATTACAGGGTAGAAATAAACAAGTCCATTACTAAAACAATCTAAAACAGACCTAACCTTTTTTTACAGTGGGCCAAATATGAATTACATATTGAAATTGTGGGCAAAAATTGTTTGGGGAGGAATAAAGGAATAATGGGATTGAAAAGAGAGAAGAATCATTTTAGTACCATTTGATTGTTTTATTTTATTATGGTTTTATAATTTTATGTTTATTGACTTAACTAATTTCTGCTCAACATATGCACAGTATTAAAATTAAAAAGTTGAATTAAGATAGAGGTCAGAAAATTATTTCCTTCAAATTCTAATTAAATGATATATCATAACATCAACAATTTAAATTATTATTTAATATTTTGTAAAATATTTATTTAAAAATTAATAATATTTATTGTACAATTGTATTTCAATGAACTAAATTAGTAAATGTTTGCTGAATAATTATGTAGCTGTAATAAAGTTATTATTTATAGCAACGAATGCAAATACTTGTACTGTTATATATTTTAGTCGTTCTAGTTTCTATGAGTATAAACCATTGTATCTCTAGGTTGGTTCAGAAATTTTATGAATTTAATGTAGGTACAAAATATAAAATATAAAGAAGCTATTAAATTATTAATATATATTTTTATTGCGGAATTCAACAGTAGAAGATGCTGTATTTTTTTTATATATTTTAAGCACTTTTAGAAACTTCAAAGTTTCTAATATCATCTTATAATTTGTATTAGGAAAATAAAATATTACAAACATCAATAAAATGTTATTGCACAGTCCCTATACCTACACATTTATTATTACAATTACCCTACTCCATTCATTTACTGAACTAATATTACTAACTTTGTCTTCAGCCCGATGAGTTAGAAGTGCCAGTTATACTTGAAACTTACCTTGTAACTTTAATATACAACCAATTTTAATTTATTTACTGCAAAATTAGGATCAAAAGGAATTATTGAATTTTGTTTACTAAGTCATAACACAAACTCGATTCCTTCAATAATGTATAGAATCAGTAGAAAATTTAATAATTGATCACAGCAGGGCTTTGAAACCTTTCAGTATTTAAAGTATTATTATATTAAGTTAATTTATTAGTTAAAATAATCTTACTACATCAGCTTGTATCGGGATAAAAATAGAAAATTCCCACTTAAATTGTTAGTTATGTATATAGTAGAATCCACTTAAGGGGGACATTAATGACAGTCCCGAATGAATGTATTGTATGTAAAATTTTTCAGTTGATCGGGGTAGTCAGGATAATGGGGACAAATAGGTCACCGCCCAATGGGTCCCAATTAAGCGGATTCAACTGTACTTATATAAAATATAAATTTTTTAATACATACCGTTCCAGCTGTATCAAGAATTTCAAGCATACATTGTTGTCCATCCACTTCAACTTGTTTACGATAACTGTCTTCTATGGTAGGATCATACTTCTCCACAAATATACCTTGCACAAATTGAACTGTCAATGCAGATTTACCAACTCCACCACTACCCAGAACAACTATTTTGTATTCCCGCATTTTATTTGAGATTGTCTCAAATATATACTAAATTCTTAAAATGTATCTTTTAGATGCTGAAACAAAAAAATTTTTATCATAATTAATAAATGGCAAACTATTTATTAATATAATGCAAATACAAATGTATAACTTATGAAAATTATGTCCATAAAAATAATAATAGACAATGAAGCAAAAAATGCATCAAATTCGAAGAATAAATTGGAGCGTGTATGTTGGCAGGTAATATTTAATTAAAATAGCCTGCATACAAAGTTCAATGCTTAATTAAAGATCAAATGGTTAGATAGCTATTAATAATAGGAGTGTAGGAGGACAATGGCTGAGATAGGCATACTATTTTACTGGGAAAGTAGTTGATGGGATTCCTAAAAGAATAGCATCTTTAGTTTATGATATCACTTAAAATATTATGAAATATGTTGTTTAGATACAAAATAGAAATACTGAATAAAATAAAACAAAATTAAATACATTTTAAAATATTATCTTATGTTTTTAAAACATATAACGAACTACAAGTTACAAATTACCTAGGAATATGTATTTATTTTTAAAAATAAACAATAGTACCTATTAATTAGAAGTACTGTATAAATATACTTCTATATACAGATTCGACAGTTCAATTTTGCAAAGTTATGTGTTAGGTATTTAAATTAACACAAGAATAAAGAATAAGGCCAACTTAAGACAATAGGCTTAATTATTGAAAGTCAAGAGTATATTAAGCTCAGGCAATTTTTAAGTTAAAAACAATAATTATTGTTAAGAATATGTTTTTGGGCTAGATACATGTTTTTTGTTTTTGAAAAATTTTTTCAAATAAAGGTTTTGTTGTCATGGCTACTTATTAACAAAAACATATTTATGATTCATAGATTATTTAAAAAAATATAATATAGGTACCCAATAAACATATTTTATTTAAGACTAGACATTGAACATGACTATTTTGTACGACAAATTTTAACATGTTTATTAAAATTTGTGTAGGCAAGTATGCAGCACTTAATACTATAGTCTATTCACAATGAGATAATTACTCGGAGGCCTGGTTGTGCTATGGGCGTGGCTTTGTTCCGTGGCAGCGCCTGACGTGTCGCCGTAGTGGGGACGGCGTATGACCGCCGCCCGACGAAAAATGGTCGCCGCCGAGTAATGATCTCATTGAGAATAGTCTATATATTAAGACAATAAATGTTATGTTTGATTCAATTCTACCCTTTTCAAGAATGTTAATTGAACCACCTAGGTATAGTTGTAGACATTTATTTTTAATTCATTAATGGAGGGTCACATGACAATGACTAAACATTTAACAAATCAATAATATGCTAAACCTTAGAGTTGCACAAACACAACGTTTTTTTAATTTAAGATTGTTAAATTTTAAGAATAATGGTATAGGGTTTAAGTTTCTACTCACATTATTCAATAACTGATAAGCAATTGAAAAAGACACATGAGGTCATTACGCCCGGCTCATCATAATTGCCTATCTTATATGTGTAAAAAATCCTCCCTTCACACAACAATTTACCAACCTTTTTTTATTTTTTTCTCATTTTATTTTTGAAATTTAATTTACATATAAATGTGTGGTTTTATGTGTTTAAGACTATACAAGTATCAAAATTTCAATATAACGTTTAGTTTTTTAAATATTAAAAATGTTAAGAGATATATTTGAATTTATATTTTATATTTTAATGGCCATTAATCACACATTTATATGTAAACTAAATTTCAAAAAAAAAATTTAAAGAACATTTTTTTTTATGTTGTGTGCACCTTAAACACGATTTAGTGGCCCATGATTAGTCCATTACATTTTATTGAACTATTTAATTAATACATTTTTCATGCAACCTGGCACTGTTATCTGTCTCACGAAAGAAGGTACCACGTCTTGGCAAAAACCAGTCAATCTTGTGCCCCACACAGTAACAATGGTTGTGGTACCATGTAAACACAATGACTGTATCAACTAACATAGGTGTGAACCATGATACCTCTAATAATAGAGTGTGGGTAATGCTTTGTCGGCCCGCAGGCTGTTTATGGTCCACAGTCTACATGTCTACATGACATAATGGTAACTTTCTTTCACGAGACAGCGTAGTGTCGTTAAACAAAAAACTTTTGTGAAATCAATCAATTGGCCATCAAATGAAACATTTTGACGAATTTGATAAATAAAAATGGTAAATAGTAATCAGGTTAGTAATGAAGTAGAAATTATCTGAATTTTATTAGTACACCTACTTCAGAATAAAAATTGAATTGTACCTAATATATATTTTCATTATTATTTGGTTATGTTAACTAACTCTAAAAATGTTTAATTTATTTATGTATAGTAAATAATAGCTACCCAATAAAATATGTTTATTGAATCTTATAATAAATTATATATTTTGTATTCAAATGGTTTTTGTTTGGAATACCTACCTACCAATACTCTGTACCAAATAAAAGCGCACCGGGTGGCGCACGAAAACCGGTCGGAACTCGAGCATGACAGAGAGTGCTACTGCAGCGTGTGGCAGTGTAGAGTGTCGGCGGCGAATACGGCCGACTAGTGACAAGAGCGAATAGACCCGGTCAGGGGGGTCTGAACGACACCCCGCGTTTCATTTGGATACGCCAACGAGGTGCGCTCTTATTTGGTACAGTGTATACTTAAGAGGGTGATACACCAGCATGCATTATCTTTATTTTACAAACGCATTACATAGCAAATTGTACGCTTAGCAGATCACATTCAGCTCTGTTAGTTTAAAAATCAGAGTAAATCGACCTCTTATAAAATGTAAAGGTAAGATTACTATCTAGTGAACCTCATAATGTATTTTTATATTTTAATTTTAAAGCAAGTTATGAGTACCTATTTTAAAATTGTAAATTGTTTTAGTTCACTAGATAGTAATCTTATCTTTAAATTTAATAAGAGGTCAATTCACTCTAATTTTTAAACTAAGAGAGTCAAACATGATTGCCAAGCATACAATTTGCTATGCTATGCAATTGTAAGACAGAGAGAATGCATGCGTGTAACGCCTTCTTAATAAATGTTTTTTTTTTTTTGTTATCTTTTAATTTTCTTTTGATCCTATATGGTTAGATAATTTTTACAGTATTTATTGGATCCATTCCAAAGTTGTTTAATAGTTGTTTTAAACTTTCATTGCATATGCAGTATATGTCATACCTATAACATGACAGTCAGCAGACCAATTAAGTTTAGCAACTGCCATACCAGCAATCATTTTCAAACTAGATAGTTTTTTTGATCGGTAATCGTTCCAAAACCAAAGAGTGATATAAAATTAAAATATTTAGCATACAAGTATTTTATTTCACACACACTCTATTATAGAGATTAAATCTGAGGTTTAGTAAATATCAGAAAATGTATAGAACCATTGTTTAGTGTTTGACGGCATAGCAACGCCAGTATTCTGATAACGAATGCATATACCAAGTTGTGTATATTTAACACTGCATTTTTTTAAAGCAGATAGTGAATTACATGCACATACAATTAGTGATGAATGTGCAAAATTGAAAAATATTAGTTGACTAATAAAAGTGAATGAGTGACTCATAATTTACGTATCATTTAAATATAAATACCAAGGTACTCTACTCTGGACAATAGGTGCAAAATGTACCTAACCCCTAAATATAACAAACATGGAAATATCAACAATTATAAATTAATATAACATGGAAAATGCCATGTGATACCTCAGTGAATACCGTAAGTGTACCTATATATAAATATAATTTTTATAAATGTTCATTTTTATAATTAATGAATATTTAAATAGGAATAGAAACGTTTATAAGGGTGTACCCAAAGACAGTTTGTAAGGAGGAAAAATAGGTATATACCAACTTGAACGTCGGTGGATAACGAGACGCGCTCAGGGTACACCCTTTCCGAGTGATTGATAATGAGTCGATTGCGCAAGAATGGAAAAATTAGTTTACGAAAAATCAGAAAAAATCCTAAAGGCTTAGACCAAGACTCGTGGTAGAATAACGAACGATGTCGGGGGGTGGGGGAGGTAGCTCTATAGTCAAGTGGACCAAAAACGAGGGGCGGGGTATGCGAAAATAACTTCATATAGACGCGTGTTTGAGAACGTACATACCAGCGAGAATCGATCCGATCACGAAGCGTCGTGAATGTTAATCGCGAATGACCGGAACACAAAAGGAAAAAAATTCGAAAAGAGCGAACACAACACTGGCGAGAACAAACGACGGAAACGACGGCGTTTCGGCGAGCTGATAAGACTACGCGATTGACCGGACCGGAGCGGACGCGGACGGCAGATGATTATGGATGGGTGGTTAAGAGGCGGGGAGGGGTCGGAGAGACACGCTAACGGAATGATATTATTATTGAAAATATCGAAATGAAAAATCGCAACAAGTCCGGCCGTTTCGGCGGCGTCGTACCGTTGTTCGCGTACGGTTAATGTGAAACGACGCCCGGACGGGCGTGAGACGACGTTGAGTGTCGGCGTACCTACCGGTTAACGACGTGAGACGCGCTAAGGAAACGGCACGACCGGAAACGTATCGGATGGGCGGACGATATCCGCCGATCGCACACAATCGACGACAATAGTTAAAATAACAATATAATAGGTGTGCTTATGTAATAGTAACAATAAAATAATAATCCATGCTACGTTATTGGCGTGCGAATGAAAGACGACGTACCTGTGAGCTCGGAGAAGGGTGTAGCGGCAACAGCAGAAGACAGACGACGATCCCATGCAAAGCGGACGCTACCGGGGGGGAAAAAAGCGGAATAAAACGAATAGTAATAATGACGATGGTAGTAATAATAAAAATAACGACAACTAAACGAGATTAATAACTGTGCGAGTGGTCGGGCGAGTCGGTGTCGGGATCGCGTTATGATGGTATTGTATCGGCGTCACGACCGACGGACGCACTCACACACACACACACAC